GATGCAATCTAAAATACGTTTCAGGAAGAACAAGTAGAAGCCTATTGCCCAGTCCAGAGGTAATGAAGCCCTTTAAGTAGGATGGTTGCTGTAGCGATTGGAAAGGAGGAAATAGATGGGAGAGGCTTTGGGGAGGTAGAATAAATGGGGCTTGACTCCTGAGTGCACATGCCTTTTTCTCACCCTCCGTGTGACCCTCATTCCTTTCCCTCTTCTGATCATAAAGCTGTATGAAGTGTCCCTTAACACACAGGCTTATATTTCCTGGAAAATTTCTCATCAGTATTAGGTAAGGCTTCATTTGCAATAACCATGAAAGACATCCCAAAGGATAATTCTTAATGTTCACAAAATGAGGAAGTCATATTCTACATCTACATTCATATTGTGTTTTCTCTGTGTTCTGACTTTTAGGCAAGGTTTCTCCTGTTTACCTAAGAGTCTTTATGCTCAGAAAACGGGAACAGATAGCATAGCTCTTCTGAAACTCCTGGCTGCTCATGCAGAATGGAAATTAGGGTCATAAAATTAAAATTCTCAAATTTACTATCAAATGATAGTAAATTTCATTCTTTGTTCCATTATTCAGGTTTAAGAGCATCTCTGCTAAGAGCCTTAGAATATTAATTTTATATATTTAGGACAAGATTTTAACAATAGAATGGTATAACTAAATGATGAGAAACTAAGGAAAGCAGTCATCAAAATAATTGAATTGATAATTCAATTGTTAAACAAAATCCAGATAAGGTATTAGTCACTCCATTTTTTAAAGCAAGAATAGTAGACAATGTTTTGTATGCTTGTATTTCTATTTTCACCATGTGTGTGGACTATGGCTAAAATGAGCTGCAGTTGGCAGTATGTGGCAACAGGGAAGGGACTCTCTAGCATGGCAAGTCTTTTGGGGAAGCTTTGCCTTGGAGACATAGAGTTTTTGAAGCCCTCTTTGGCTGCTTTTGACAAGGAAAATTTTGTATTTTCAGGCCTGGGACTATTTTATAGAAACACGTATGATAACCAGGCTACAGGCAACAAGCACGCATTGAGCAAGCAGGAAAGCCCTGCGGTAGCTGCACTTGCAGTACAGCAAGGAATGCTTAGTGCCGTGACTAGCACAGCGCGTGCCTAAGAACTAGGAAATAGGGGATCTGTTTTCAGCTCAAACTTCAGGCAGGAAGTGATTTTCCTGATAAAACAAGCAAAAAGTTATTACTCCTCATTCCCCCCAATCAACACAGTCTTACAGCAAATCTTGGGCTTAACAGGCAGAACTCAAATGAAGATTAGGGACAGCAAGTGCCCTGGTTAGTAAGAACAGCTAACTTTTATTAAGTACTAACTATAACTAAACACTCTCTCTAAATATTTTCCCTGCATGATTTTATTTAACTGTTAAAACACCCTCCTTATCATACCCATTTAATGTATGAAAAAACTGAGATTAAGAGTTTGAGTGGCTTGCCCAGCGTCAACAGCTACCGAACCAGGATTAATGCCAACTGGACTGATCAGGCTAATTCTAAAATCAACACTTTAAATCTCCCTACACTGCCTTTTGCTCAGATAAAGTCAGCAGCCTCCTTGTGCAGGGGATATTGATGTGCAAGACCTACATTAAAAGTGTACTTAAAACAATGCATTTCTGGTTTAGAAGGGAGCAGATTAGTGGAACAAAAGAACATGTGTACTTGAATATATATAAGAATTTGCATAATTTAAGATGATATTTCAAGTCAATAGGAAAAGTAACAAGTATTAAATATGTGGCAATCAGTGGCTATTTGGGGAAAAAAATTAAAGCTATATCTTTTGGGAAAAAATCTGCACTTTCTGTGAGCTCTGAGTGTTTCAGAGATTGTACTCATCCCCATTTGTGGGCATTAGTCTTCCCAGAGAATTTATCTGGAGAATATTTACTTTCAGAGGAAGCACTAAGAAGGGAGGTCTTTTTATTAAAAGTGCCTTGGGGATAGGATTTTTAAAAGACAGAAGAGAATAGTGTTGTGCTGTCTCTCAAGAGTCCCATTAACTCTCTAGGCCATGAACTATGTGTGCTCCCTTTCTGGGGAAGGAAAGGCTTTTAGGGCGATTATTGTCACGGGGGCTATATGATGGATTATTTCCCTCCACTCTGGTTGCTAACTGAAAAAAAAAAAAAAAAGACACTCCAATAAGATTATGAGAAGGATAGAGTGACATTTATACATAGCTCTTCTTGGGACAAGTTCAAGTAGGATAAAAACTGAAGTGAAAAAACAAAAATGAGACAACACAAGGAGAAGAATAACCTGGCCAGCCTTGAGTGGGGAATTTTTCCATAGCAGCAGTGGGAAAGGGGAAAGGCTAGCCCAGGATCTTGGAAAGGAGGGACAGAGATGACAGAAGGGTGGTAGCATTGTATTTGGTTCTGTCCCCCAGCTTTCTCTCTCTCTTGTCTTTGTTGTTATTATTATTTTACTTTTTAAAAAATTTTGCTGGGTCATTTATATTCTCATAAAGTAGCTCGAATCCTTTATGGGACTAGGCTGATTATAAATACATAAATATAAATAATGTATTAGAGATATTTATTAAAATATTACATTTATTCATATATAATATTCATAAATTTAAAAGTATATACTCATTCAGAAGTTAATGTCCACTATAGTATATGTTGATCTTATTCCATGGTTTGGGTTTAGTGCTCTCAACAAATCATTTTTTATCTTCACAAAGTCCTGAGGGTAGGAAATCCTTCCAGATACTTGCGCACATGGATTCCTAGGCCGGGGAGTGAAGTTGGTACCTGGTGCAGTGGGGTTGGCTTAGGGTGGGAGGGACAAAGGCAAGATGGCAACACCAGAATTCTGACTGGGAATGCCACTTTGACACTGGCACAAAAACAAAGCACATGGAACATACAAGTCAACACATGTAAGCCAATTTCTTGAAAGCATAAGATTGTCACAAGGCTAAGAGTTGGGCTGGAAATTTGGCAGAGTCAGTAATAATTTTTATGTCTAAGGACAGAGGAATCTGAGTTACACAAACAAGTGGGTGTTCACTGCGAACCCAAATAAGCGAGTCATGGTGAAGGACACTGTGTCTAGAAATAACGGAGTACATCAGCACCACTTTCTAGGTGATGGTAACTGTTGCTCCTTGGGGCATATGTGGCGTTAGGAAGTGATGCCAGTGAGAGTGGTGCCTTTATTGAATCTTCTCTTCGGGGGGTAAAGGGCCATTCATGTTTCAACCCAGTTATTCTAGCACCTTATCAACAGGATGAAGATGCACTAGGAGATTGGTGAGGAGTGAGAATATGGCCATATGTGAGATGTTCTGTGTGTGTGTGTGTGTGTGTGTGTGTGTATGTGTGTGTTACGTATATTAATTATCCATGACACAATGAAGTAGGGTTTAGCTGGGACTAGTGTGTGCTGTGTCCTTCTTTTTACAGTTGCTGGTAGTGAAAAACAATGGGTGAGGCAACTCTGTGGAGATCGGAATTTGATGACGGTGAAGGGGGCATGACTTAACATTTGCTCTTCCAAATTGCTGTCCTTTGCTCTTTCTCCCCAATCCATGGTGATTTCTCAGTAATAAATATATGACTACAAATAATATTACATAATACAGTGATTATTGTTATTGCTGTAATTTTATTGACTGCTTATTAAAATCTTCACATGCATCATCTCATTTAATTCTCACAACTGAGGTAAGTGACAGTGCCAGGATTTAAAAATAGTTCTGCACAGAGACCTTAATGCTCTACTAGTGACTCTTATCAGCTGGTTGCACGTTTATAATTCACTCATTTATTAACTCATCCTGTAGATACTGTTTTTAGTCCTTACTATAAAGGTGTTATAAATAAACAAAGCAGGACCATCTTGGAAGGAGAACAACAATAACAAAAAAATCCCTTCCTTTCCTTCTTCCTTTCCTTTCCTCTTATCATCCAAAAACCACTCAATAAATCCCTCCTCTGTGCTAAGCACCCTACCCGGCACTGCAAATAAGATTATGAAAATGATAAAAATCTCTATGCTTCCACAATTCAGAGTCTAGCCAGGAGAAAATAAAAAGTACATATTAATAGATAGATAACTATAATTTTATGTCTTTAAATATCAAATCAGAGAGTACTGCAGGTAACATTGACTTGCCTGCTTATATTTCCCCTGGGGTTTCTCTTTCTACCAATATCTGGCTTGGTACACAAAATATTTTGAAGATTGTGCATGTATTATAATATACTGTTTTATATGCTTTTATCTTGGCACTGACATTTTATCTGCCCTGCTAAATAAGCATTTCATAGATATAAACAAAATCTTTGGTACTATTTACAGAGCAGAATTTGGAAAAAAATAGGGCTTGGGTCAAAGCAAGCATCTGTGATTCAGTGTAGATGAGAACCGTTCTTCTAGAACTTAGCAGGTCCAAAAGGAGATGTGGTGCAGTCATAGGTCAGAGTTCTCCGTAGGATGAACAGGGGGAATATGTGCACAGGGGGAATGAAGTCAGATGATGACAGGACCAGCATCCTCTATCTGGGTCACATACTCTTATGGTGAAGTTTGTTCCCATGATAAGAAAAGTTGTAAATATACAGAATATCTACACATATTCAAATATAAGTTCACGGAACATTTTAAATCCTGACAAATCATCTTTGGATTATCACTATCGAACAAATGTAATATTTATATATATTTTTTTTTCTTTTTTTTTTTCGTTTTGATAAAGGAACAAATGTAATATTTAAAATCTATGTCTAAACATAGAACAGATATGGGTGGGCTTCAAGGAGTCTGTGAACACCTGAAATGATATGCAACATGGTGTTTTTTTAGCTTTCATCCAATTCGAATCTATGACACTAAAATGATTAAGACCCAATGAATAGGTAACTAAAAATAGAGAAATTAAGCCCTATAACAAGGGCAATTTTCCCTCATAAAATTAGTACTTATAGCACATGATTCTGACATGAATACTGTACTTACATCTAGAGCCACAGACTGCTTGGCCCAGGACTTCTTCACTTGGTCGTACATAATTGTGTTGTTGATGCCAAGGCCACAAAAGATGACAAAAGCCTAGGAGAAGGAAAGCTCGCTGAATAAAAATTGCAACAACTCATTAGCAAAATCTCATATGAAAGCAAGCACCCATCAGGGATTGGCCTTGATAAATCTAATTTTATTGAACACAGAGGTGGACCTCAGGGAAATAGGCCCATTAAAATTCATAATTACTATTGTCGTGGAACAACTTTACAGCTTGCATCGCACATGAGAAAAAATTAATGTCATGGAGAAATTACTTCATGTGTTTAAAAACATACTTACAGTCTATTTAAATGTGTTCTTAATTCAGGCGTCCTCAAACTACGGTCCTTGGGCCACATGTGGATGTTTTTGCCCGTTTGTTTTTTACTTCAAAGCAAGATATGTGCAGTGTGCATAGGAATTTGTTCATAGTTTCTTTTTAAACTATAGTCCGGCCCTCCAACGGCCTGAGGGACAGTGAACTGGCCCCCTGTTTAAAAAGTTTGAGGACCCCTGTGACTTAATTTATTTAGGTTGTGGACTGATTTTAGTAACTCCATTCTACTTAACCAAAAACAACCTCATTTAAAAGTAGCTAGGCTATAAAATATTTTGGTAAAGAAATCCAACGAGTGTAACCATAGGTGAGTGTTAAGGGTAAGAAGGGTTGAGTTAGAACCATTAATAAAGAAGCTGTGAGCTATTCTGGGCCAGTAAGAAATAATCATGGGTTTTCATGTTGGCTATTGGCACAGTCTACGAGGAAGCCAGTTCAAGGCTAACCTCTACAGCCAGGGGGCCTGGAATGAATGGAAGCTTGTAAACAAGAGAAAGGTAAGAGTAGTACACCTGGCAGAGCTGGCTCTGGGTCTCACAACTCTGAATACACATGAGCAAGACAGGAGTAAGACAATAACCCTTTGGAAAAAGAGAGGGAGACTCGATTCTGTAATAAAATTAAGATAAAAATAATCAGTAGTTATAAAATAATTTGATTAGTGAAAAATAGAACCAAATATTACCTAAGCACTTATGTATTCCTTAAATCTTCCTGTAATTTTTGTCATACCATTTAAGCATAATGATAATAATAATTAATTAATAATTATTTATCCTTACAAATGTGAGCAAGCTATAACCAGGAGACTATTGGTGACTCCATGTAAATCTTGGTTTGTAAATTTATTTTCTTACCTCAAAAAGCCTTTGATCTGCATCATCAAAAGGTTTCCCATCAAGTCTATTTAACACTTGAGCCACCCCTGTGGAAAGAGTTTGGGGTATGTGGTCAGTTGCAATGCTGGACATTGTTACTCTTACAGAGTAAGCCAGAGCTGACTCCATGCCTTCTTTAAGTAACTGCACTCAGTGTAAACGCTGGTCTCTTGAGTGCTCGATATCTCCATGAAAGTGAATCTGAGGTGTACAATGAAGCAGTCTATCTTCAAGGCTGGTCTTGACCTATATTCCAACTAGGTCTCATTAACGTTCAGAGTTCTTCCAGACATCAATCTGATGCCCTGGCAATGGCTTTTTCCTCTTCCTCTTTGCCCTTTTTCCCTCCCCTCGAAAAACTCAATCAGGAAAGTATCAAACCCAAGAAAGAAGCCCAGTCAAGGAGAGTTCATGGTTAAAATGGAGAAGTTACAAAGGATGAAAGCATTAGAGGATGGAAGCATTAGTTAAAAGTATTGAAACACAATAAAAATGTCATTTTTTCCCCTAAGAGACAGAAGGAAATTAATGCATTTGGTAACCAATGCCTCTATTTGTCTCTCTCTGTTTTCCCCTAAAATTGCCTGTTAAACTCTAAGACACTTCTAATTATCAAAGGATTTAGTACACTGTGAGTGTTGTCAAAGTCTGAATTCTGAAAGAATTTTTCATCAGTTTGTTTAATTTGCACAAAATATTGGTACATTATTGAACATAAAGAATATGCTAAAATTTGGGAATCTGAGCCCTTAGTACAAAGCATTAAATTACATCATATTACAACTTTTCAATATATTTATTAATAAAAAGAAGAGAAAGTCCACAAGAAACACGATGTATTGTCTGTGGATATTAAATGGAAACCTCACATACAAGCCTACATTTCAATGCTAACAGTAAACATCTGTTATTACCTCAAAATTAAGAGTATAGTTTTCATGCTAAAAGTTTTGAATTTCATAATATGTGTCTTCTAGCATATGATAACTTATCTTCCTGGTGGGAAAGTTAGGTGTTTTTAAAAATATAAGCATGCTTTCGAATTACAGCTTCTTTTTGTTGTTTGCTTGTTTCATGCTAAATGGGAACATAAACTAAGGGTTTTCAAAATTATTGAGGGTTTTTTTGTTAGACTTGTGTGTTTTGAAAGTTATTCCCTAAAACATCTGGTATAATTCTGGAAGTGAACTTTGGAAAGAATAAGCAGTTAATAAATAATAATAAAATAAATAATAATAAACTTAATAGATTAAGTTTATTAGAATATACTTACTCCACTGGTAGCAGGCAACAGAACTAAACTGGCTTTGAAGGTTAACTGTATTATATCAATTTCTATTGCATGTAGAAATTCCTAACACTTCTTGAATGGAAATGGAATGAAACTGGAAGCTGCTGTGCCCACAATTCCCTTATTCTGTGGAAAGTGTGACCAATTTTAGAACTGTTCAGGGAGAAGGATATAGCACCAGTATATGTCTAATTGTGGGGACAAGAATAACTCTATTTTAGGTGCTAATCTGCCATGAGACTCCTCACTAACCTCAAGTCCGGGAATGCCTCCAAGATGTCTAGTTTATGTATTACTCCTTAGGTGCCTTTCCTCCAAAACAACCCTTGATGTTGTTGCATACATCATAGACTGTGATGTCCATAGCATTGCACCCACACAATCCTTCCAAAGCACATATTCTTTGTCCCCAAGATATATGCCCTTAGTCTGGGGGTTGCAGTGCAGAGATCTACTTGTCTTGTGGCCACCCAAGACCATGCTTCTGTCCATAAGTTCCCCTAATAAAAGACCCTTTTACCAACAAACTGGATTTGTCTGCCTCATTCTTTGATTTCTCTGCTCCTTTTGGTACTTGGGGCTACTTTGCATATATGACCCTTCCAGGGAACACTAATTACTGAATGTTTTTTCTTTCCTTTGCATTTATGTCATGTGCAAAAACACAGACATAAACATACAGACATACTGGGAAAGTTTGTACTAGGAGTTAGGGGGTCTGAGTTTTATGACCCTGCTATAAATAACTTTGTGACCTTCCTCAAGTCATTTTTTCTCTCTCTCTCTTACAATTTCCACAAGGTAAGATAAAAGAGTTTTATTGGTTAGTACCTCAGATCCCTCCAGCTTCAAAAGTCATTGGTTCTTTGAGCTTAATAAATATTTGTTCAAGTTCTGATTAATGTTGATTCATTAGGAGTCTATGCTTAAGAGATTATACGAGAGTTATGAACAGAGTGTGATGAGTCCCGAATGTAAAACTAAGGAGCACATAAAAAAGATATGAGTGTATTTTAAAGCAAATTTCTGTTTCTTTATACAAGAAGTTTGAACTATTTAGGCAATGGCTTACCAATTATTTGGTGGTTGCTATTCCAAATAGGGACACAGAGAACAGACCTTATGTGAAAACCAGATATCTGTTCCACCTGGGGATATAAGAAAGAAATTAATCAAAATTAAACATTAACTATCCATGTCTGATTTACAGCTTACCATTCTTCATAATAGATATTCAAAAATAATGTTTAAAAGGTTATGTTATACATTGTAATCTAGTTTTTAAAATGCATATACTCACTCACCTGCCTCCTTTCATTTATTAATAAAATATCACAATGAACATCCCAAGGAAATCAAAACCAAACCATGTATTAATAAACCAAAACATCCCCAAACCAACACCATCACCCCTAATCTCTGCAGCCACAGAGAGCTGGATATAAAACTATCTTGATCACACTCACACCAACAGATGAGAATTCTGGCAACTGTTTCTGTTCTGAGTATTTAAAGCATTTTAATTAAACCAGTGGTCAATATTTGTCTTAGGACACACCTGTTAGTAAAAATGTTTGCACCTATAATGCTGCCATATGTACACTTACTTTGAATATTCTATATTTGTACTGTTAGTAAATTATTATGTATGTTGTAAAATCATATATACCAAAAAATAAAAATGGGAAAATATAAGATAAATGTAGAGGCTTGAAGATATTTCTGTACCCTAACAGATGTAAGGAGGTGATAGATTTAAAATAAGGAAGAATAATTATCAACAGTAAACATCATTTAGTTAACAAGCTCCACTTAATATTAAAAACAATAGTCCATGTTTAAATGGTTAGAGAGGAGCAGCTAAGACTGAAAGGGTCTCAGGGAGTTAATATGACCTAGATTTCCAGGGAAGAGTCAACCTGTCATCCTAATACTATAGGATAAAAAAAAGATCTCAAGATTTTGGATAATGATTATTGAGATAAAAAGATATTTTAAAGTATTCTTTGTTGAAGTTAAATGTTCCATATTTTAAACATTTGAAATTGGAAGTTAATTTACACATCTAAAATTTGTATTTGGATATCTTTATTTTTGGCTTTCCTCTTTGAGAAATTAATTTTCCAGATGTCTTCTATTGGTTGTTAGTTTCTCTTTTCAGTATTTTTTGTTACTTTAACATATGTAGAAAGGTGCAAATATCCGAAGTATACAGCTCAATGGATTTTCATAAAGTGAACATACCTATGCAACCATCACCAGGATCAAGAAATAGAATATTATCACCACCCTGGAAGCCACCTCCATGCCCCTTCCCTCCTCCCAAAAGACAACCACTATACTGACTTCTACAACATATACTCATTTCCTTGTTTTTAATTTTATATAAAAGGAGTCACCAAATGTGTATTCTTCTGTGTCTGGCTTCTTTTGCATTATATTAGATTTCTGAGATTTACTTATTTTGGTCATTTTCATGGCAGCATTATTCTAAAACATGAACGTAACACTGATAATTCATTCTATACTCAATGAACTTTGGCTTGTTTCTAGTTTGGAGCAATTACAGATCATGCAATTATCAATATTCTCACACATTTTTAGTACACATATGCATTTCTGTTGGGTATATACCTATAATAGAATTGCTGGGTTTTTTACCTGTTCAGCTTGAATAGAGATATTTAAGAAGTTTTCCAAAGTAGTTGTCCTCTCCAACCAGAATTGTATGAGAGTTCTAGTTGCTTTACTTTGTCAGTAATACTTGATATTGTCAGGCTTTTTTTTTTTTTAACATTAACAATTCTGGTAGATACATAGCAGTATCTCCTTGTGAAAGTAATTTGATTATCTCCGACGACTAGTATGACCATACACCCTGGTTTGTCTGTTTTGCTGATAGAATTATTAATAATATGGCTTTTTACTCTCAAAAGTGTTCCAGTGGGACAACAAATTTATGGTTTCCCCACTGATGATTAATGAAGTTCAATAACTTTTCATATAATAATTGTCTATTTTGATATCTCTTTCATGAAGTACATGCTCAGAACTTTGGCTATTTTTCCTATTGGTTTATTTGACTTTTTAAAATTGGTTTGTGAAAGTTTTTCCTATATTCTGGAGAAGAGCCCTTTGCCAGGTATATGCATTACAAATATTTTTCTTACTGTATGGCTTACTTTTCCACTCTCTTAATAGCATCTTTTGATTCAGAGGTTCCTAATATGATACAGTCAAATATCTCAATCTTTTAATTTGTGGTTAGTATTTTATTGGTCTTGTTTAAGAAATCTTTCTATACTCCTAGCTCATAAAGATATTCTCTTATTATTTTCCTAGAGTCTTTATTGTTTTAACTTTCACTTTTAAATTTATAATCCAACTGAAAATGATTTTCATGTATAATATGAGCTAGGAGTCAAGATTTCTTTTTTTAAAACTAAAGGTAAGATCTGCAGCAAGATTCTTTTAAAAAAAAAAAAGAATATCCAATTGACCCAGCACCATTTTGAGGGAAAACAATGCCTCTCCCCAACACTCTATAGTTCTACCTTTTCTGTTAACCCATTGTCCATATATGTTCGGATCTGTTTCTGGACTCTCTGTTCTACTCCCTTGATCTAGTTATCTATCCTTACGACAATACCATTCTGCCTTTACAAATATAGTCTTATAATAAGTCTCAATATCTGATAGTGTAAATCTTCTTAGTTCTGTCTTGACCATTTTTGGCCCTTGGCATTTCCATATAAATTTTAGAATCAACTTGAAGTTTATACACATACACATACACTACTGGCATTTTTGCTGGGATTATGTTAAATTTATTGATAAATTTGGGGGATAACTGACATCTTTATAAAACCGAGTCTTTATAAACATCCCTAACTTTATTTAAGGCTCTTAAAATTTGTCTAAGCAAACTTTTATAGTTTTACATGTGGGGTCTTACACACAATTTGCTATATTTGTACCTTTGTGTTTAAAACTTCATGCTATTGTAAATAGTATTAGTGTTTTATTTTCTAATGCCTGTAATTGGTACATAAGAATAACTGATTTTTGTATTTTGAAACTGTATTCATCAATCTTGCTACATTCAATTATTAACTTTAAAGTGTTAAAGTGTAACTTTAACACTTTAACCTTTAACTTTAACCTGTAAAGTGTTATGGATTTTGTCATGTCCTCTTAATCTTCAATTCTTATAGCTTTTAATTATATGATTTTAGATTATGTAATTTTTCCTTTTTAGTTTGTTAATAGAGTGAATTACATTGATCGATATTTGAGAATTCCAGATGCAAAACAAAACACGGGCATACATCATTCATCCAGTGCTCTCTTCCAACAAATATTTACTTCCTTATATGTGCCAAACACATTGCTGAGTGTTGAGGATATAAAAATGAATTCAGTCATTACCCTTGAGGTCCTCACAGTCTAGTAAAGATATAAATAGTTAAGATAAAAATAAGTGTTCAAAGGCCGGGCGCGGTGGCTTACCCCTGTAATCCTAGCACTCTGGGAGGCCGAGGCGAGCGGATTGCTCAAGGTCAGGAGTTCGAAACCAGCCTGAGCAAGAGCGAGACCCCGTCTCTACTAAAAATAGAAAGAAATTAATTGGCCAACTAATATATATATAGAAAAAACTAGCCGGGCATGGTGGCGCATGCCTGTAGTCCCAGCTACTCAGGAGGCTGAGGCAGTAGGATCACTTGAACCCAGGAGTTTGAGGTTGCTGTGAGCTAGGCTGATGCCATGGCACTCATTCTAGCCTGGGCAAAGTGAGACACTGTCTCAAAAAAAAAAAAAAATAAGTGTTCAAGTAGAGGACTTTGAAACACTATAGGCAAGACATCAACTGATTCTGGTTAGAACAATCAGGAGCAGCTTGAGACCCTATAAAGTGGATCTTCAAAGATGATGATGATGATGATAAGCTAACATTTATTGAATTCTCACTATGTGTCAGGCACCCAGCCTGCACGCATTATTTTATATACTTTCTACAACCATATGAAGTAGGTACTGTTACCATCATCTCTTATCAGATGAGACTTAGAGAGATTAACTGCCTTGAATGGGAGAGACTGGTTCAAAAGAGGCCAGACAATAGCAAACACATCCATCAAAGTTATCTTCCAAAAGAACAAAGTGGTTTTCTTCTTCTCCCTAAGGATAAAATCTGAATTAAGGCAATGCCAGTAAGCATGAAGAGAAGAAGAAAGCCAATTTGAGTGAGGTTTGGGAGGTGTAACCTACAGGCTTGGGCTAGCCTCAGCAGCACTAGAATGGCTGGATCTGTTTTGTTTTGCTAAGGGAAGATCACATACCATCGTACAGATGATCTTGGTCTGAACCAGCACTGAGCAGTAAGTACAATTGTCTCTGCCAAGTCTGAGACAATAACCCCTGTCTAACCTCTCCTAGAACTTCTGAAGCAGTAGAGCATCAGGTCACAATAGGCAGTAAGAAAAGGAACACACAGTAAGACAGACAGCTCCAGAGGCTTGTGGTGAGAAAAACAAGCCTTAGGCTGTTTGCCATGAAATAAAAGAGAATTTTGTTTACTCATAATTTTTAAAGGACTGCATTTCCACAAAAGAATTTTTTTTATTTTGGGGAGGTGGAGGTACGCAATTTTCCCATCCCTATGAAGGATAACATTGAGGTTTCTGGTTTGAGTAAGGGTGGGAGTAAGGGTTGAGTAAGGGTTCCTTGAAGTGGGAAATACAAGAGATTTGAGGGCAACGATATTGAGTTCAAATGGACACACATTAAAATTGAGTAGGGCTAGAGATAGTAATCTTGGAGTCATCAGCCCTCTGTGTTAATTACATGGGTAAAATCACCAAGGCAGAACTTGTCCAACAAAAGGATTAAGAATTGAACCTTGGGGGACACAATGTTTAGTGCTGGAAGAAGGTGACATCATTGACAGGGATGGAAAAGAACTCCCAAAGCTCATGCTCTTAACCTCTAGGCTTTGCTGTATCTCTAATGTTTGAACAGATCATGCAACCTTCCAGGAAATGGGTCTATTGATGTGTAGCCAGAGCCTAAAAAGTACAAATACCCTTTGACTTCTCAATTTTGTGTCTAGGAATTTATTCCATGGGAATTATTAAAGCTATGACAAAAG